AGTAATATGTGTTGAAGTTTATCGCCGTGTAGAGGGAGAGTTTGGGCAAAGCAGGGTCTGCTTTTGCAGGCTGAGTGAGTTTAGCAGCTGCGAAAAGCAATGATGTGGTGCCCAGCACCGCCCAGAAATCGTGGAGTAGAACGATTTTCTGCTGTACTTCCTTTGCGTTGGTGCAATGTTTCCGTTATATTTTTTTTTGTTGTGCATGGCGTCGTTCCGGCTAGTGGGCCGCCGCAGTGGGTGCAGCCGAATTCGACTCTGAGGGCCTCGAGCAAACGATGCTTGACGCTTCTGTCTCTTGCTGCGTTGCCATCCTGGGCGTGTGGGCGCCTGCTCCGTGCGTTGTTTGGGCTGCACGCACCGGGCGAGCAGCCGGAAACTGTGGGCACGTTGGCTCCGCCCTCCTCCTCCTCCTCCTCCTCCTCCTCCTCCTCCTCCTCCTCCTCTTTTGCCGACTGAAGGAGTGCGTGCGGGAGGGGGCCGCCTCGCTTTATTGTGCGGGGCTTTTTTGTTTTTGTGTTTTTGCAGGGGCAGCGGGGCAATTGGGGTAAACTCCCCATTGCGGGGGTGAGGGCTTCGGAGTTGTTTGCGGTGAAGGTAAACTGTGTGTGTGTGTGTGTGTTTCAGCGAGGGAGCAGCAGCGAGACGGTGAAGGCCCCAATGAAATGCAAACGATGTTTGTGCCTGCGGATGCCCAGTGGGAGATGAGGCAGATGCATCCGTCCCTGCGGGTAATGTGCACCGTTTTGTGAGACCACCTGCCCTATACGCCTTTTGCTTTTGTTTTTGCTTCGGGGGTCCATCGTGACGGATGCGGCGGCAACAGGGCCGGCTGACGTCAAACGCTCTGTGGGCTTGGGCCCCCTCCTCTTCGCGAGCCCCCCGGCCGTTTGGCCACGCACAGCTGCCGCCCATGCACCTCGCAGCTGCCAAGTCTGTGGGGGACACGTGCCACGGCACCGGCGTCGTCTTGGATGAGCGTCTTTTCTATGTTTCTGTGCAGAGCCTGAGACCACAACCGCCGGACGCGGTTGTGCAAATGCGCTTGGACGGCCTCAGAGGTGCGATTGGGGGTCGGGTGCCACAAGGAGCCTGCGTCACGGGCTTACTTTCCCCCTTTTTTTTGGTGGGGGGAACTTGAAAGCAAACAGGCTACCCGCCCGCACCGCCCCCGCCTCTGGTTGAGGGGAGCCACGCCGCTGGGAGGTCTGCCGTTGCTGCGTGGCACCTTGTGAAGGCCATTCACGAGGCGTCGGCTTTCCTTGGCGTGCATGCCAATGCCTCAATGCGTGCAGGTCCAGCACTGCGCCTGGGGTTGTCATTTGCCGGCGGCGTTCACCTGAAATTTGGCGGCTCTGCTGCGGTGAAGGATTCATTGGAAAAGGTAGAGGGGTTGTTTGCCCTGATGGGGCTTCGGGGGGCATTTGTTGGCACAACCCAGCACACGCCGGTTGTTGAGGAGGGCTTTACTGGAGCTCAACGTCCCGCAAACCCTCGACCTCTCTGCAGAGGTCGTGCGTAACGGTTTCAATTGCGACAAGCACGGTGAGAATTGCAATGCGCCGATTTCCAACGGTGTCACAGTCCAACATCTCCGTGTCGGTTAGCCTTGCTGAATGTGCGGCCGCATCGTGACAAATAACCTGGCCCCGCTTTTGGCACAATTTTTGGGTAAAATGCTCGGACACACACGATGAGCTGTGGGGCTGTTCAGTATTCCCGCGCATGTCTTCCGGATGTTGGGAAAAGTGAGTACTCAACTCCACCATCAACGCCGCCTTTTGGCGGGCGTGATTGCTGTGGGTGCGCCGCTTATTTTGTCAGCAGCCGCCGCCGTCAGGAGTCTATTGGCGTTAGCGTCGAAATGTGGTAGCTGCACGCGAAGGTGACCCCGTATCAATTGAGGCGTGCACTAGTGGGAGGCGCTGCCTTGATGACTCTGACTGTTCTCGCAGCCTTCGGTTTTTACTTGGTCCAGCGCCACAACTGCGGCCGGTTTGTTTGTTTTGGGGAGAAGATTTTCCATCAATGAGTTTCCCACTCATGGACTCCACACACACAAAGTAGT